GAAAACCAGAGTATCTTGTATTACAGAACTAACCTGTAGGAGGTGGGTTGGAGTTGTGAACGTATGTAAGCCTGCAAGACCTGAAGTAGTGGAAGCAGCAGAAGCAACCCGAAGGCTGGGACAGAAAAGGCTGGTTAATGCCCCTGCTCACAGATGTTGCAGGGTCAGCTTCTGGCAAGAAGGAAGATGGACTGACCTTCCTGCTCCTACTGGGTTTTAATAAATGCCTCCATAAACTGGAGGATAAGCCCTGGTTTAGGTCTTTCCCTGCCTTTTTCTCTTTCCGGACTCATTTCCAGCAGTAGTGGATTTACTGTCTTTGCTGTAAGTACCTTCACAGGGAAATAAGAATTCATAATCTGCAGAGATAATATATACTAGAATGAAACTGTTCCAATACTGTGCCTGCCAGAGGCCAGACTGAAAGATAGAGATATAAAGCTTGCAGTAGTCGTTCATTATTCCCTTGCATTTGGCTGCAAAGGAGTAACCACACCTGCTTGGTGGACCGTGTAGGTATTACAAATCTTTGATCTTTCTGAACCTGAACTGATCTACTAGAGAAATATTTCATTATTCTTTTTGTACTAGTAAGAGAGAGATGGGGATACTTCTATTAAAGTATAGGTTTAGGTTTAGGTTTTTTCCAAATGTTTTGTTAAATTCCTAATTAACACACAGTTAAATTGCATTGTGATTTGTTTAAGCTTGCTGTCAATTTTGTAAAGTCTCCCCATGAAAACTTGCCTTTTGCGAAGTGGAGTAAAATTCTACTTTAACTTGCAGTCAAGCCAGACTTATGTCCATTTAACTTGTATTTCAGCCATGCTGTCTTTTTTATGGCAGCTTGAGTAGAGACCAGGGAGAAACATAGTAAGAAATTGTCTCCTTCCTCCCCATTAGTTAGTTACTTGACATCTGGCTCAAATGTGTATTGCAGGCCCCTCTTCAGCCCTTCTTTCTCTCCTTCCAATAAAAAAGTCTGCCTTTTTCAATGAGAAAATAAATTTCAAAAAACTGTCTATAGAAAATCTCGAGTTATAAACCATCTTTTCCAAAGAAGAGGCATTTTAACATCCAGCCCTGACAGCTTCCATGCACAGCATACTTCTTGATTTTGTAACAGGGAGAGATTAATGCTGCCCTTCTATTATATGCTTTGGGATCTGTGTGTACTCTGTAGTCAACCTCCTCGTGAACTGCTGCTTATTAGCAGTGGAGGCACAGACGGCTTTGTGTTTGCGCGGCTCAGCTGAAGGAAGGGGAGGATGGCACAGATAGCAACGTAGATGGTTCTAGGCATCTCTTTGTACCAAAGCAAAGCTCCAGCTGATTTTTTTTTTTTTTTCAGAAACATGTGTAAGTCTACATTAGATAGCAGACCCTGCTCCCAGTTGCAGAGAGCCTAAAGCATTTGTTCCGTGCTGAGAAATTTGGGACTTTTTTGTGGAAGTTTGGATTTCAACGGGTAACGGGCCCTTTCTTGCCACCAGACTATCTACTGTTAAATACATGACAGTCATAGTAAAATACTAATATTATGCTTCCAAACAGAGCGACTAGAGAACCTAGAATTAAAGACCACTGTCTCATTCAAAGTGCTGGATGAATAATGTTCATATGATGTATTATTACTCAATATGTTGTTTTCCTTCCTTGTTCATGTGAATTCATGCCTTGTTACTGTGCCCAACTCAATTCCCACTCTGAAGTGAGAGTTCTCAATTTCTTTCTGAACTAGCAAAATTTTATCACTGCAGTATCTCACAGTTTCAAAAAACTGTGTAGCTTCCATGCAGTATCGTATTCAACTCTGTTCTGTATGTAAGGGGGGAGTGTTAAATCAGAAGTAACCCAACTGGATTTTGGATTTGGATCTGTCTGAGGTGACTCAAACTTGCTGTGGTTTTGTGTTGGGTTTTTTTTTTTTCTTCAGGGAACTTAAAGTATGAAATGCCATTATAAATTGTAATCACAGCTTGCCTTGAATAGTAACCACAGCTGGGAATCCTGCAAGTCAGACCCTTGGATCGCAAATTGGGCAATCAGTTAGGGTTGCATCCAGGTGGCTGTGTCAGTAGTTGAAGAGGACAGCAATGCTCCCTGAGGAACAATTCAGAAGTAAGCAGGAGAGAGCAACAGCTTCAGGTCAGCCCATGGAGAACGAACAGTGTGATGACTTCTGTAAAATTTAAGAACATCTTGCCCTTAGTGACTCTCTGTGAAATACGGTCATTGGCTCTGCACTCTAGAGTAGTAGTTTTTCTGTGCTATCAGGTGCTCCCTGGTGCAACTCATAGTCCCTGCTGCTGCGTGATGTCCTGGCACATCCAGGCTCCATGTAGGAGGAGGTCTGACTTCGCTCAGTTCCCCTGCACACCTGAATTTCCTTTGCAGGAAAGCAGGGTGCCTGCAGGGGGAAGGACCTGAGGAGCTGGGGAACACATCTTCCTCTTGGTTAGGATGCGGCTGACAGGGAAATCCTGAAACCAGGACTTAAATGATCTATATGGTCGACTGGGGATTAAATAGCATAGTTCTCCTCTCTTCATCTCTCCCTGTCTGCACCTCAGCCTTCAGTCACAACATGCTTTCCAGCTTTGGCTAACTGAGCACCTTCCTGCTTATTGTCTGGATTCCCTGAGCCCAGAAGTGCCAGATGCCTGGCCCCTCTATTGCTTTGCACCAAAAGGGGCTCGGAGCAGACTGAGGAATTCAGCTTCAGGACATTTCTATTGAGTGCGTGAAGTGTTTTTCCAAATGGTTGTCCACTGTGAGGTTTCCTATGGCTACCTGTAGCGTCTGCCAGATGTAGCTTTGTCACTCCTAAAATTTCTACTTTTAATCCTGGAGGCAGTGTAGAGCCTGTGGAAGAAGAGGTTGCCAGAATTTTTCAAGATAGAGGGTATGTCTACAATGAAAGTTTTAGGTACCTTCAGTAAGCAATTAAACAAATTTACAGGGAAGAAAACCTCTGGAGCTACTAAGCCCAAAGATACCTCTTCCCTGCTCTGGGCATCCTTGAGCCATGAGTTCTTCCTAGAGGTGTGGAGGAGCCTCTGAGGGGTATTGCTGATTGTACTTAAAGTCCTCCTTTCACAGCTGGTGTTGACTCCTGCCTAAGGCAGAATCCTGCACAAGGTAGATCTTTGGTCTGACCTGAAGAAGCCATTCCTGTAGTCAACTACATTGCTGTAATATACTACAGGAATGGCTTCAGCAGGTCAGACCAAAGGTCCTGCTGCTTCTACCCCAGTGTTGGTCTTTGAAGCACTTGAATTGCCTTGGCTGAGCTTCAAATAATAGTGTGTCCTGAAGCAGACACAGTTAGGAAAACTCCAAGGCAACTGGTATTTGAAGTGCAGTGAAGTTTATTAAACAGTTGCAAAATACAGTTTCGTGGTGGGAAGTACCAGAATCTTTAGTTACCCTGCTGATAATACTTCAAAGTTGCTGTGGTCACTTTAGAAAGACAAAACGTATGGAAGGCAATAAAAGGAAGTCTTCTGTCTTGTAAGTTGGTATTTAGGCTTACAACCAGAGTACTTGAGCATACTGATTGAAAGAGCGTGCCTCTGTCAGTGGGGTGCTTGGGTTGGGTGGAGGAGCTAAGCCTCTTGGTCTGGCACCTCTTGTGGGGGGGGGGGGGGGTGTACACGTGTGTGCACACACCTGGCAGGGTGGTGGGACGGGTCTCTCTCATGGGGTGTCAGGACTTGCTGAGCTTGCGTTTGTTTCCTTTTCTGCTGCTAGGTGGCCTGAAATAGTTTAGTGTGGGTGAATTCTCCAAACATGTCACAAAAGTCTCAAGTCTGATGGGATGTATAGGAGCAGCAGGGTGTTGCACACAAAAATGCTGAAGGAGTGAGAAAATATTTCTGTAGGTGGCTGACATCCTGATGTATTGGATTTTAATGAAGTTGAGCACTGTTTGGGAACAATACTCCAGTGCATTGCTAATTTTAAACTATGATTTACAGGAGATGCACTAACCATTGATTTTACTCAGCCTTTTACTCGTTTTCTTGAGTTGTTTCTTACATCGAGTTTTGCTGTGCTATTTTCTTGCCGAGATCAGCCTTTAACTTAGTAGTAGTTAATGTTTCTAAATTTGGGAAGATTGCTCCCCTGATTTTAAGTTTAAGTCATACAAGCAGCAAATATGTCCATCTAAGCTTTCATTATTGCTGTATTTATAAAAGAAAGCTTTTAAACTTTGTGTTCGTAGTGCACAGAGGTGATTGATGTGGCTGGCTTTCCCTGGCAGGTCTGCCCAGAGCGGCTGCCTCCATGTTAGTTCTTGCCTTTTACAAGACTTAGAAAATAGGCAAGGTTTTCATGCTGGGGGGAGGTAAAGTCAGCAAGAAACACTTCTTTCTAATGCTCTTCTGAAGGCGACCACCTTCAAAAGGGTTTTAAATGTGTATGGTTTAATTTCTTATGTTAGCTGAAGTTCTCAAAGGGCTTAGTTTATGATTGAGGAAAGCTAGGTGCTATTCCACTCTTAGGGAAGCCCAGGGGGAAAAGGGTTTTAGCCTAGCATTTTTTAATAGCTGTTTCATGATGCTAAAAACAAAACCAAAACCCCTATGTTTATCGTTTTGGGGTTTTATAGTAATGGGTGTGTTTTCTTTCTGTGAAGCTTTTAATATTAAGGACCAAAAAATGCTATCTGTACAGATACTGTTACACCAAATTAAGTACACAAACACAAATGCCTCCATAGTTATTTACTGCTTCTAGAGAGCACGTGATAAAAAGGATCTTTTTTAATTTAACTTTGGCTCCCACACATTCTTTTCGTTCTGACCTGGTGAAACTGGGTGTCTTTCATGGCAGGTTCAGGAGACTCTCTGCAATCTTTTGTCTTCTTGTTTGGCTGCTAATAACCGGAAAAATTGACTGAGCAAAATGGTGAAGAAGTTGAGCCAGCAGTTGCCACAGTGACAGTTGTCCAATATAAATATCTTACAACTCTTCTGTTTATCATCTGTTTTCAGGGCAGTTTAAGCTGCTGGAACAAGACCGAGATATTAAGGAGCCAGTGCAGTATTTTAACAGTGTGGAGGAGGTGGCTAAAGCATTTCCTGAACGAGTTTACGTCATGGAGGAAATAACATTCAACGTTAAGGTAGTCCCTGAATAAATATTTATCCCTGTCTAAATGATTAACTGTTACAACCTTTATATACATGGCAAGTGAGCAACAGCACTGTGTGGGAGGTGTGATTTTTGAGACAAACGAGCCTTTAGTGTTCCGCATTCAGTGATGGTGCTCTTTGGGATCGTTTTTGCAGTCTTAAATCAACATGTCCTCTAAGGGCTCTCCTGTCCTACGGCACTTTGGGGAGCAGTCCTGATGATCCATCCAATAATTCATCTAATTAGGATGCTCCTGCCAGATTTTAAACAAATGTTGTTTGTTGCCCCCTTTCCCCTCCCCCTCCAGCAGTCTGAATTTTATTCTCTGCTAAGCAGCAGCTGCTCAAATCTCTGTCCAGAAAGCCTTATTCTCAGAGAGCACGCAGGGTGAAATGATGGGGTTGCTTGTCTCACAATTACTGCAGCTAAATAGCATTGTGAATAAAACAAAAAAACCCAAAAGACACCCTTGTTCTGTGTGCGTGTTTGCATGTGCATGCCTCTTGGGCTCATCAAAGGGTCAGCAATCCCATGAGTGTAAGAGGGCTTGCTATCACCAAACACACTGCAGCGCAGTGGCATGACACAGTGAAGACAGAACTTGTTCTTCCTTGTCCTACCTGTATGTGTGACACTACACAAGGCAGGTCAGCTCTGCCAACAGAGCAGAGTGGTCTTCGGGCTCATCTGGTTTGCTTAAGTTGATACACCGCCTAAGACTGGTTGGAGAGCATCCTAGAGCTGGGATGCAATGGCGCAGATCCACATCGTGTACCCTACAGGGGAAACTGGTTGATACTGCTGGTGCAAAACCAGTATAGAGTTTCCTGGTCCCGTGTGTAGCGATGTGGGGGTTTTATAACAACCTTTTAATGACTTTTTCTCGCACTGCTAGAGTTGGGGGACACCGGCTAGTCTGCAGTTTTTATAGGTGTGAAACAAGATTGCTGAAGACTGCTGTGAAGTGCGAGAGCTCATCAGTTAATTCATTTAGTGACACAGACTCATGCCTTTCAAGACAGTAGGTTGTTTTCATTTCTGCTCTCCATTAACCTGAACCCATAAAAGAGAGCCCTTCATGAATGAAGGCTACATGAGAAAGTTGGAACACTTTTGTATGTTTAGGATGTAGTTGCGCAAATCAAGGCAACAAGAAAATTTCATTTCTACCCGGGAAGATCAGTCTTACCTTGGGACTGCTAGCCTTATCCAGTGCTGTGCCATTATTTCTCAGTTGATCAATGACCAAATCAAGAAAGTGGCACAGTAAAATGTGCAGCTTTGATTTTATAGGGAAAAAAGTATTTGTTTGCAGGCTTTTTTAAATGTAAAATGTTGTGTCTTGAGTTTAATGTGAGTGTTCTTAAAACTCTGTCATATTTAGCAAACTGAGAATTAAGCATAGCTTACTGTTATATATCAAATCATTTTTAAAAAGAGATTATAGTGATAGTCCTTAATGTAAATAACAGTAATAATAATCCAGGTTTAACCTAGTTACACAGTTATCTTGGCAGTATTTCTCTTGGCAGTTTTTCCAGTTTCATAGAAGTCTTTTCCAAGGTTATCATCTTCCAAAAAAGAAATGAACTTAAGAGGATTTATTAAAGTGCAATAGAATTATGTACACTAAAATTTTAATATAGGGGAGATCTTGTCAAACTGATTAGAGCAAAGGGAGGAATACTAAGTATGGTTGATTTCTGTCCAATGCAGTGTGCCCGTTTAAATTCAAAAGAGTATCAGAAGGTAGCTAATCTGATACAAAAAGAAAAAAAAAGCCTAAAATATCTGATGAAGCATTTAAGATGACGAGGAACTCTGAAGTCTGGGAACACTTACCTATTCCAAACACTCAAGTCTTTCATGGATAATTTTTGAAGAAAGAGCCTGTAGAGTTACCAGACAGTCACTGCATGGTTTTGTCTGTGCTTGTTGAGGTCTGCCTGCATGTGCCAATATGCCACGGTTACGGTTTGACTTGGTGCGAACCTTGCTCTTCCATGTAAATCCTTTGCTGCTCCGGCAGGATTTTGCAGCTAGCGCTGCCATTCAGAGAACTGCCTTCTGGCTGTGACGGGCCGTGGGATCTTCTCCAAGGCGGGGGTTAATTTATTTTTACTTCGTGTACTAGTTGTTAAAGGGAAAAATGAGCCACCTTATTCTGGGGGAGGCAGGGGAGATGGGTCTCCCTTCCTTCTAGCAATAGATTTCTGCAGTCGGCTGCTCTGGTCCCATACAGATGGCAGTCGGTACAAATACCCAGGAAGCTATTTGAATTAAGACTTAAAAATAAAACCAAGAACAAAAACCCCACATCATACCGAGGGCAATTCACAAAAAGTTCTCTTAAAAAGCAACAATATTGTCTGATAGATTGAACATTGGACAAGCCATGAATTCCTGTGCTCTAAAAACCAGCCCACTTAGTGTTGCAGGACCCTTCAAATCTTCTGGGATATCATTTTTGTCCTGAAGATATCACTTGGTCTCCTTGGAGAGGCTGTGAAGCTGTTTGCAGAGCCTTTGCAGGATGGAGAGATGGGTTAGTTAATTAGCCCTTTTCTTTCCTGTCAAAGACATTGTTTGGCTGGTGTGAACTTTTGATACCCGATGTGTTTATTTTTTTTAATTTAATCCTCTTTTCACAGTGGTTTAACTGTGTTGGCTCATACGGTGTGCATTTTGGCAGAAATAAATCTATAGTGAAAACTTTGCTTTCTTTTTTTTTTACAAATGTTAATGCAGTACAGTGAAGCAAAATTGATCTCCTGATTTGATTGCATTTCTATTGGCTCTGATAAACTTACCCTGAGTTTCCAAAAAGCACATATATAGACGGTTGTAACCTACACTGGTGTTGTGGTTAACCCCAGCTGGCAACTAAGCACCACACAGCCGCTTGCTCACTCCCCCCCACA